CTGGTTGGGGTGTGTTTGAGCTGGAGGTATCAGGGGGGATCTGTTTGTGCCCAGGTGTTTGCCTGGCTTGTGGTGTGGAGATTTGTTTGTTTGTGAGTGCAGGCTTCCAAATGATTGACAGCCTGGTGGAATCATCTCTTCTATTCATGCTTTCTGGTCTTTTTTCAATCTCTATGGCTTCTCTGATGATTCTGTGGCTAGGGTTTTCTATAGTGGCTAGGGTTTTGGTGCCATTAAAGTTGATGCTATGACCTGTGGCTTCCATGTGTTGGACTAGTGAGGAAGTGTGTTCCAGCTTTTTGACTGCATTTTTGTGTTCATCCAGGCGGGTACTTATTCTTCTATTGGTCTGTCCAATGTATGTGGCCGGGCATGATGCACAGGGGACTTCGTATATGCCTTGGTTTTCCAGGTCAATTTTATCTTTGGGGTTGCTAAGGATGGCTGCTATTTTTCTGTCTGTTTTGAAGGCAGTCTTGATGTGATGTCTGTGTAGTACCTTACTAATTTTGTCTGTAGTACCTCTTATGTAGGGCAGGACAGCTGTTCCATAGGTCTGTTCATCTTCTGGGTCTCTATTATGTTTCAGTGTGTTTTTGTGGATCAAGCTGGTGATTTTGCTTTTGTGGAAGCCGTTAGCTGTCAGTACTTTAGTCAGGGTGCATAGTTCAGTCTTAATGTGTCTTGTCTGCCAGGCGTTTGGTTCTGGTAATTAGTGTTTTAGCCACGGAGTTTATCTGTGCTGGGTGGTGGTGGGATTGGGCATTGAGGTAGCGGTTAGTGTGTGTTTTCTTCTGGTATACGGTGTGTCCTAGTGTGCCATCTGTTTTTTTGTAGATTAGTACATCTAGGAATGGTAGTTGTTTGTTTGTTTCCGTTTCCATGGTGAACTTGATTTTGGGGTGTGTGCTGTTTAGATGCGTTAGGAAATTGTTTAGGTTTTCTTTTCCATGGGGCCAAATCACAAATGTGTCATCGATGTATCTTAACCATAGTTTGGGTTTGTGGATGGCATTGGCCAGGGCTCTGGATTCGAATTCTTCCATGAACAGGTTTGCAATGACGGGTGACAGTGGTGATCCCATAGGGGCTCCTTCAATTTGTTTGTATCTTTGTCCTTTGTATATGAAATATGTGTTGGTTAAGCAGTGTTCTGTTAGTTCCATGAGGTGTTTAGCTGGTTGGTATTTATTTTTGATGATTTCAAGGGTCTCTTTTATCGGGACTTGAGTGAACAGTGAAATCACGTCGAAACTTACAAGCAGATCTTCTTGCTCCACATGTAGATCTTTGATCATTTCCAAGAAGTGGTATGAGTTTTGTACATGTGAAGCTGCTGTTTCAGCATGGGGCTGTAGCTGTTTTGCTAAGTGTTTAGCTAGGTTTTGTAGTGGTGCTCCTCTGGAGCTGACTATGGGTCTGAGAGGTATGTCTTCTTTGTGTATTTTTGGGAGGCCGTATAGTTTGGGGCATCTGGAAGATTTTTCTCTTGGGATGATCATCTGTTGGATCTCTTTGCTCATGTGGCTGGTTATAATTTTCTTCTTGGTTAATTTTTCCAGATATGTGGTTGGGTCTGTGTTTATGGGTTTGTATGTGGAGTCTTGGAGTAGGTCTGTCAATTTTGTTTCGTAGTCTTTTCTGTCCATTACTACAGTGGCATTCCCTTTGTCTGCTGGGAGGATGATTATGCTGCTATCTCTTTTCAGGGTTTGTAGCGCTTTAATTTCATTTTTCTGCAAGTTGCTTTTGGGTGGTTTGCTTGTGCATAGGATGTTGGTAACTTGGTGTCTTATTTTATCAGCTTCATCTGTATTTAATTTAGTTAGGCTGGATTCTTCCATTTACCCGAAGCCAAGCTGCACTAAAGGCCTCCAATAAAGTTGCCAGCCAATCAAGATACAAAAAGAGCCAAAAAAACAGACAGAAGATATTAGAAGCAGAACACAGCAAACTCCAAGACCAATAAACACAGACTAAGACTCTCAACCAATCAGGATGAAGAAAAAACCATTCTGGCACAGCAATAGGCTGCCCCAAATTTAAATCTGAAACCACTGTAAAAGTCTAACTCACAGACAAACACTATACAAAAGCCTGATGATGGCAGATGAGATTCTGCTGAAACGTTGCTACAACTTTAAAAGCACCACTACTATGACGTGGGAAAATACCCGAACAAAGCTGAATGCCATACATATATATATATATGTGTGTGTGTGTGTGTGTGTGTGTGTATGTATGTGTGTATATATATATATATATATATATATATATATATATATATATATATTAACTAAAAATGTATATAAATGCAAGACTATACTCCAATAAAGATCATCATCATAATTCAGTTGTTCATGATCAAACAACTCGACTGCCTCGTCATTACAGCAGGGATGGGCCTGGGTCCTCCTCTGACTGCTCAGAGTCAGTCTCCACCAGGGGCATGACAAGGATACTGTAAAATCTCCAATCAGAGGTGGTATTTGCCAATTCTCCGAACTACTCAAAATTTCTGCTACCAGTTCTCCAGAACTGGTCAGAACCTGCTGAATACCACCTCTGGATGAAATGAAATGTATTTTAACAATATTAATACCAAATAAAAAGGAAAACCTAAATACTACCCATCTTCTCTGTTGCAGAATTGCTATACAACAATGTATGCTATTCTGAGTTCAATCCTGATGCAATACTTTGGATACCCATAAAAATCAAGTGTGTTAGAAAAACACTCTCTTGGTATAATGTTTCTTTATTTTCTAATAATCAAGAAACATTGTCAAATTAAAAGGAGGTGTTCCCATTCATACATTTAGGCTTTTTCTGTCTAACCTGGAGGCAGTAAACTAATTAAATGATTATGATTCAATAGGAAGCTACAGTTAAAACACAAACACGATAAAACAGGGGTGTGAAACTCACGGCTCGTGGGCCAGATGCGCCACAGGCTGGCCTTGCCCCCACCCGGTTTAGTGAAGGGGTAAAGTCCCGATTCATCATGTGACAACGCGTGACAACGCAAGTTTGACACCCCTGCAATAAGATATCTCACTATCAGTTCTAGTCGACAGAGTAATAGTATGGAGCCTTAAGGTAGTGTGCTCTAACAGGAGCCTTCTGGTTTCACGTAAAAAATATAAGGATCCACAAATGTATCCAAGATGAACCTGATGTCACATACATTTTTAAGACAACACAGTTCCACTGTTGAAGACAGTTAACTCATATCGGAGGTATTAGACCTGTGCTAACGACTGCCAACAGCATGCAAATTAAACAGCATGAAACCTACAGGTAGTCCTCAACGTACGACTGCTATTGAGCCCAACATTTAAGTTTCTAAGAGAGAAATTTGTTGAGTTTTCCCCCATTTTATGACTTTTCTTGCCACATTTGTTAAGTGAACCACTGCAGTTGTTAAATTAGAAACAGACTCATTAAGTGAATCTGGTTTCCCCATAGACTTGGCTTGTCAGAAGATGGCAAAAGGGGATCAGGTGACCCTGGGACAACACTGAAACCATGGAAAATGTGAGTTGGGTGGCAAGCATTCAATCAGGTGACCACGGTCGTTAAGTGTGAAAAACAATCATGTCACTTTTTTTCTTACAATACTAGACAACACAATATCAACAGTAGAGACCTTCAAGTTTCTAAGTTCTTCTATATCTCAAGACTTAAAATAGACATCTAACATCAAAAACGTCATCAAAAAAAGCACAACAAAGAATGTTCTTTCTGCGCCAACTCAGAAAGTTCAAACTGCCGAAGGAGCTGCTGATACAAAGGAATTATTGAGTCTGTCACCTCTATCATTGTCTGGTTTGGCTCTGCAACCAACAAGACAGACAGAGACTTCAGAGAGTGATTAGGACTGCAGAAAAAACAATTGCTACCAACCTGCCTTCAATCGAGGACCTGTATACTGCACGAGTCAAAAAGAGGGCTGTGAAAATATCTACAGACCCCTCACATCCTGGACATAAATTGTTTCAACTTCTACCCTCAAAATGACGCTATAGGGCACTGCACACCAGAACAACTTGACACAAGGACAGTTCTTTCCCGAATGCCATCACTCTGCTAAACAACTAATTCACATAAAACTGTCAAACTATTTAGTAAGACTGTATTACTATTATTCCTCTCATCCTTCCTAGTACCTATCTCTTCTCACTTATGATTATAACCCTGTTGCGTGTATCTTTATAATTTATATTGCTTTGTTTCCTGGTATGATTTGATAGCTTCTTAGTAACCTATGACTATCACTAAGTGTTGTGCCTTATGATTCTTGATGAATGTATTTTATTTTTCTTTTATGTACACTGAGAGCATGTGCACCAAAGACAAATTCCTTGTGTGTCCAACCACATCGGGCCAATAAAAGAATTCTTTTTCTTTCTTTCTTTCTTTCTTTTTCTTTCTTCTTTCTTTTTCTTTCTTTCTTTCTTTCTTTTCTCTCTCTCTCTCTCTCTCTCTCTCTCTCAGTGTAACTTCAAAGCATCCAAACAGGTGACCCTGGGGAAGGACGCCAGGATCGTTAAGTGTGAAAAACGGTCATAAGTCACTTTTTTTCCCAGTGCCGTTGTGGTAACTTCAAACGGTCACTAAGCCAAGGGTTGTAAGTCGAGGACTACCTGTATAAAGATCAGCATAGGACCGATGTCCAACCCGCAGGCCTTAGAAGGGTGGCCACCTTTCTCGACCTCTCGGATGTGGCGCACCTCTTGGTGCCGAACAGCGCCCTCAGGGCAATATCCTGGGCGCCATCTCGAGCAGATCAGCTAGGAGTGCTGGATGAGTCTGGCTTTCTGTAAATGAGTCCTTAGGAGGCTATCAGCGGCATCCCAAGGCAACCTGGCGCACAACGTTTTCAAGTGCGTAACAGAAGCATCTCTATCCGGAGCCACCTGGAGCCCCGCCTCTGCCCCGCTTTCTTTCCAGAGCCCGCCCGCATCTTAAAAGGCCCAACGGCAGCCTCACTCACCGACCTCTTCCTCTCGGTTTTTGCCCTCGGGACGGAAGGGATCCAGGCGAGCTCCGCGTAAGGAGCTCCGTCGCCCACGACGCCCAAACGGACGAGGAGATAAATGAACCACCAGCAGCAGCCCCCTTCTCCCTTGCCCACACAAACAACAGTCCGCAGGAGACCCGGAAGCGGAAGCGACTTCTAAAGGCTGCGGCAGAGGTTGGGAGGTTGGGAATGGCCTTCTATGGCACGTGGGCGGAGAGAATGGAGCGGGAGGGTGAAGGGTGGGGGGAGCGGTTTGGAAGGACTGGGCGCCGAGAAGCGCTGCCTGCTTGCGTGGCATGCTGACGAAGCGTGGAGTCCTCTTCGCCGTTGAAAGGCGCGCGATTCAAAAGGCGTGCTCCGGAGCTACCTCATATCAGGGACGCCTGGTAACATCCATCCCTTTTCCGGGCTCCGCATGTGTTTATTTTATTTTATTTATTTTTATTTATTTGTCAAGCGATTATAAGATAACAGGTATAAGTATAAACATAGTTATGGATACATGAAATGGATACATAAAAGAAAAATAAAAAGAAACAATAGGACAGGGACGGTAGGCACGTTGGTGCGCTTATGCACGCCCCCTACAGACCTCTTGGGAAAGGGGTGAGGTCAATAGTAGACAGTCTAAGGTTAAAGTTTTTGGGGTTTGGGGAAGAAACCACAGAGTCAGGTAGAGCAGGGGTCCCCAACCACCGGTCCCTGGACCGGTACCGGTCTGTGGATCATTTTTTACCGGGCCGCAAAGCTTGGGCGCCGCCATCTTGTTTCGACGGCGCTTCCAGGTTTTCGGTTGCTTCCGGGTTTTCGGTTGGAAAGCGGCGTTTGGGTGCTCGCGCCTTAGTTTCGTCAAGGGGGGGGCGGCTTCGAACGAAGAGCCGTCCCGATGGTGGTGGAGTCTCGCGTTACTCAGGTACCGGTCCGTGGAAGAATAAAAAATCGTGAAACCGGTCCCTGGTTCAAAAAAGGTTGGGGGCCACTGAGGTAGAGTATTCCAAACATTGATCACTCTGTTGCGTCAATGTGTGGAATACATAGGTGGAACTCGACTTAACAAGAGTTCATTTAGTGCAGAGGTCTCCAAACTTGGCAACTTTAAGACTTGTGGATTTCAACACCATAGCTGGCTGGAGAATTCTGGGAGTTAGTTGCCAAGTTTGGGGACCCCTGCTTTAGTGACTGTTGGAAGTTACAAGGGCAATGAAAAAAGTGACTTATGACCGTTTTTCAGAGTTATGACCTTTGAAGCATCCCCATGGTCCATGATCAAAATTCAGGCACTTGGCAAAGGGTTCATATTTGTGACAATTGCAGTGTCATGTGATCACCTTTTGCAACTTCTGACAAGCAGCATCAATGGGGAAGCCAGATTCACCTGAACAACCATGTTACTTTTCAACTGCAGTGATTCACTTAACAACCGTGGCAAGGGAAGTCGTAAAATGGGCAAAACTCACTTAACAAATGTTTCACTTAACAGAAATGTTGGGTTTGATTGACTCGGAACTTGAGGACTACCTGTACATCAAATCCCTGGTCAGAGATTCTCCACCCTAGCATCTCTGTAGCCTTTGCGCCACACCAGAATGGAGTTCTCAATGAGAGTCACTGCACTGTCCCCATGATGTAGCATTATAACGATTCACGCGGTGCTTCTCGGAATGGGAAAGTCTGTTCCATGTGCCAGATCTTGCCTGGGCACATCTTCACATAGTCTGCGCAAAAGGAGTTCCGATGCCAGGACATCCTTGGTCTGCATGTAGGGGTGTGGCCAAGTGCCAACTCTGGCTTAGTTTACCTGGTACGATGGGCCAATTAATCAAGCAGAGTGGAGGGAAGTGGAATCCAAATACAGCTAGTCCTCGATTTACATTTCTTTTAGTGACCATGCAAAGTTACAACAGCAGTGAAATATGTGATTTTTCAGTTACGATCTTTGCAGCATCTCCATGATCATGTGATCAAAATTCACATGCCTGGCAACTGGTTCATATTTATGACCTTTTCCAACATCATATGATCACTTTTGTGACCTCACAAGCAACGAAGAAGCGAGGTCCACTGAACAACCGGGTTACTAATATATCAGCTGCAGTGATTCACTTAACTCTGGCAAGAAAAGTCGTAACCTGGGACAAAACTCACTTGACAAATGTCTCACTTAGCAACAGAAACATTGAGCTCAGTTGTGCTTGTAAGTTGAGGACTACCTGTACTTTATTTCTCCACAGGAGCAAGAGGCATTTCACTGATTGCTTCAGCAAAAGCGAAGCCCTGAATCATGTTTACATCAAGCTTTTTATAATGTTTGCACAAGGAAGCATAAGGTTGTAATTTCAATTTTTGGTCAGTTGTCACTTCCTAGTTCTAATTACTGCAATCCCAAGTAGAACGACAATCAGCCAACACTGCAAAAGGGAAATGCAAGAAGGAACAAACCAGGTTTCTGGCTCCATCTTATGTCTGTTGGAGGAACCTCAGCCAATCACAATTACAGCATTCTCTTAAAGATACAACAGTATTAAATGACTATCCTGGTTTATATATTGCCAACCCAACTGTTAGGTGACTATCATTCCTAACAATTCCAAGAAGCTGGCCACTACTTTTAGATCTCCAGTTATTCCAGGCACAGTGGTTAGAATGCAATACTGCAGGCTACTTCTGCTGATAACCGTCTGGCAGCAGTTTGGCAGTTGGGGTCTCATCTGCTCAGGGTTAACTCAACCTTCCATCCTTCAGAGGTTGGTAAAATGAGGACCCAGATTGTTGGGGGCAATAGGCTGACTCTCTAAACTGCTTAGAGAGGGCTGTAAACCACTGTAAAACAGTATATAAGTCTAAGTGCTGTTGCTATTTGATGTATTGGATGTGTTTCAACAACAGTTCCATGTTTTCATGTGTTTCAGGTATGCAACATAGCCAATAGCTACTGTAGGATGTGCATTGCCATTGTATAAAAACAAAAGAGCACAACTATATATTGATCCATTGCTTTCATATGTTTAAGAAGCAAATGTTTTTACACAAGGGAACAAAGAAGAGAAGTTAAAATATGGGAAGCTGTCCACGTAGAAAAAAAATGGAGCTATGTGTGCTTGATGTGTCTGGCTTTCTGCAAATTAGTAGTTATGATAAGATGCAGGGATAGAAAGATTCATCTTGCATCTACAACAAAATGGAGAGTGGACCGTTGTGAAGCTATGCAAAGATAGGATAGAATAGAATTTGTATGATTTTCTTTTTTTTTTAAATTACACAATCTCCATCCACAATAAATCAAACAAAAATAATATTTCTGGGTACTTTATTAGTTTTTATTTTTTCACTTCCAGGCAGTAGCACACACAATAGGCTAGTAAATCTGTGCAAGACTGCCCTCCCTTGCTCAGATCACAGCAGCCTCTAATGCTACTTCCAGGTTCTCAACAGAAGCTACACAGAAAGGCAATGGGAACCTATTATCTATAAAGATCCTTGCTGCAAATCTTGCTTCAATGGCAAGGACATTCCAAGCCAGTGGGAGCCAAATATTTATTGTCAAGGTGGGGAAGGGCAAGGTTAACAAACCAGAAAGATCCATCAGTACATTCCTTTCTCCCAAGACCCTATTGTCAGATTTCTACCTTAGAACTGTAATAATGTAAAAAAATAATTAAAAAAGGACTGTTCACAGCAAGGCTATAATACTGACACAGAGATTAGGATCAAGAAAAACTAGATTCTACAGGAGTGATGGGGAGAGTGGGCTAAGACCAGACAGTTTGAATGAAAAAAGAGATTAAGAAAAATAATTTAAAAAGATTCGGGTTCAGTTGGCACTGAATAATGAAGGCCTCATCAGCAATCAAGAAAGCACCTGCAAAAAACAATATATATCAAGGTAAGAAAATCAGTTTAGATTTTGGATTTCTGTGTTGCCATAGTTTTAACTATGGTTTGTTAAATAACCAATAATTTGCTGCACAAATATGAACCAACAAAAAAGCCATATTATAGTTTGCCATAATGTGTGAGCTCACTATCTTAGCTGAGCCAGGAATTACAGCTGATGTTCCCTAATATCTTATTTTGTTAATTCTATTTTCAGTGCCCTAAGAAGTTGGCATAATCAGTTCTTGCGGCTCAGATTTATATCAATGGCTGATCTGATCAGGTATAATACACACTATCCCTAAAATAGATATTACATACCCCTCCGAGACCCCTCCCAGCAGCATAAGGAAATGTAGGATAAATATACACATATGGTCCTTCTCTCCATTTCAGGGAGGCATCCAGACATGTCCTAGGGCCTAGACTTTCTTTGAATTCCTTAAAAATTTGGATGTATGCGTTCTATCTTTCCCAATCAAAAGCCAGGAGTAATACCAAGACAATTAACTCACCAGCTCAACGATCAGTAGTTGTGCGCAAATCTGTGGTCAGTGGATCGTGCTGGATTGTCTGATGCAACATGAGGGCAAGCAACCCAGCCCGGTTAGTCATAGCCATCCGAACATTTCGTTCCTGCTCAAACAGCTCATCCAGCTTGTACCACTGCCAGTGAATAAAGACATCCTAAATTACTATCCCCATTCTTAGATCAACCCCAGGAAAACTATTTCTTCAACAGGTCTATATAGAGAAGGCTCCCTGTTCACTCCTCGACATCTCCAGGTTGATGTGGAGCTGAAAAGCTGAAGAGTTGATGCCAGCCCATGTGAAAAATTCTGGACTAGAGAGGGTAGTTGTCCAATTTATAAAGTTATTTTTAAATAAATAAATGTTTAACAAAAGGTTAAGCCTTTGTGTTCCTACAAGATCCTGAACGTACCACACGCACTCGCTCCAAGTCCACCTCAGCCCGGCGCAACTTCTCCCAGCAGTAGTGCCGATTGCATTTCCGTTTGGGCACCCGGCAGAAATCTCCAGTGAGCTCAAAGACATCTTTTACCATGGGGCAACCACACACCTCGTCTGCCGAAACCTACAAGAAAAAGTCCGAGTCAAGATTCAGCAGGAGAAACCGAGAGTTATGTCTACCCTGAACAAATACTGCCCCATCCTGTGACACCCCAAAGGCAGCTAAGAAAAAGATGTAATTCTAACAGTATTGGTGACTTGATCATTTACACAACTTATTCTGGACAGTACAGTCTTCCTAATCTGGGGAAATATTACTCCACCATGCCCCCAGTTAAGGGTTCAACAGATACTGACAGAATCTATATGAAACTTAGTTGTACAGGTACAAGTCTGTATCTTTATGTATGTATATATATGTGTATATGTATGTGTATATGTGTATCTGTATACATATATACACACACAACCACACACAAAATATAAAATATTTAAATCCTAAGATTTAAAAAACTTATTTTTATTCTGAAATGAAATCCATATATGGCAGTCTACACTTTCCTTGCGCTGTTAGCAGAAACACGGAGCCCACTTTACATACTGGTACTTTTCTACTGAATTTTGACAGTGGCTAACTTCCACAAAGATCTACCCTGGCCCCTCAAAAGGAATTCAACTCTGTGCTTACTTTTGGGTCACGGGAATGCTCTGGGCACAGGACTTGCAAACGTTTGCAGTATGTCTTGCTTTGTAGGTTGTAGACATCACAGAAAAGACGAGTAGCTCTAGGGGGAAAAAACAACAACCATGCATAATTTTACACACTTCAAACACGTCTCCCACTTCTTTTTTTTCCCTAAGCTAAAAAGCCTGCAAAGATTTAGTACCAACCATTTGTACTCTTCCTATCCGGATATAGAGGCAATATTCAATCGTATGACTGGTCATTTAACGATCATCTAAAAAAAAGTTATTTAGAACCCATCCTCAAAGTTATGATTGCTGCACCAACCCATGGTCATATGATCACATTTTGGGTGCTTGTCATTTGTTTTGTCATTTTTTCCATACATGGCTGGAAAAAATGACAAAACAGCATATAGACTTGAAACCAGAGATATTTTTATTGGGTATCTTACCTGAAGGATATAGTAAAGAATTGACATATTTGATTATAAATGTTTTGACAGCAGCTAGAATTGTATTTGCCAAAAATTGGAAAAGTGAAAAAAATTCCGATAGAAGACGAGGTGATTAAGAAAATAATGGAATGTGCAGAAATGAGTAAATTGACATTAGCAATTAGAGAGCAAAAAGACAAAGAGTATTATAAAATTTGGGACTTATTTTATCAATGGTTAAATAAGAAAATAAGGAAATAAAATACAATATAAACACAATATTATAGTAAAGATAAGACAATGTAATATGTTATAATTGACTATAATGAAATGAATGGTATTATGAACTAGGTTTTGTAAAAGTTGAAACTTGCTTGAAAAGGATGATATGAATTTACAATTAAAGTCCAATAAGAAGTTAATAATAATATAATATAATATGCATAGTTGATTTATATAATATGAATTTTAATAGTGTATCTAGAAGGGAAAGACTGTTGATATTGTGCACAAGAAGATATGTACCAACTGACACACTGTACAATGGAAAGATGGTTTTATGTTTTGTGTTTATGTTTGTTGTTAAAAAATAAAAAAATGGGGGGGGGGGGGAAACAGCTTGCATTTACAAGTCACACTACTGCATTTTCCAAAGCTTTTCAGCAAAACAAATGCCCATTAGAGAAGCTGCATTTGGATTTACAACCATATGGTCCCCTTAACAACCAGTCAGTTGCTTCATGACCATCATAAAAATGGGTGTAAAATCAAGTCCAGTCACACACACCGTGACTCAACTTACGACCACAACTTACAACCAAAATTCCAAGGCTGAATCGTGGTCAAGGACAACCTGTATTGGCAACCTGCTTCCTTGCCTTATTGCCACATCATGCTTTTTATATTGAGACTGAATTCTGATGTTACTGGAATTCATTTGTCTATATGTACACTTTCTGCTTTTTTTATAAACTTTGCTAGCTTGATTGTTGACTTATTTCATTCACAAGTTTTATAGCTCATCCCCATCTACAACCTGAGCAGAGTATGACAGAATAAAACTACGGATTAAGAACAAACAAACAAACAAAAAGACATGAAATGCCTGCCACTTGGTCTATATCCCCCTCACATCGTAATGTTCTTACCGTACAGTCAGATTAACCTTGGCAAAGCAAAATGTAAGCTGATATTATACTATGTAGGGTTTCATAGATTGGCACTTTGAATTGGTCCCAGACACCTTCTTGTAATTATTGCAACTATGATGGATTGACATTTGAAATGAGACACAGGGAACTGTCTCTGAGAAAAATGCCAACCCTGAGAGAACTCAGGTAGCAGTATTTATTGAGAAAAAACACAAGCAAAATACAGTCTGCATATTCAGAAAACAATGACCTCAACAGGAGATTACTTCACCAGCATGAGAACACACAATCTTGGAAAGTCCCAGATGTTACCTTGCTAGGATGAGATCATACAGCCACGGAAAGTCTCATGGGAAAGTTTGGAAAGTCCCATGAGAAAGCACGACTGTGTATCTTGAACTTTCACCCATTTTCCTGTTCCTTCTAAACTGGCAGAATCAAAACAGAATGAGGCACTCTGAGCAAAGATACTCCTACCCCCACCAAGAATGCCCACATCTCCTAGACTTACTGCTAGTATTCAAAGGCCTTACAGAAAATGATAAAATGATTAATAAAATATATTACCACAGCAACAACTTTAGTTGTGGCATTAATCTACTGTGATAGGATTATCTCATCAACAGCAACATTTTGAATCAGGTTTTGGATCGTATTCAAAGATAGTCCCAAGAAGAATGTGTTACAATAATCCAACTGAGCAATGACCAAACTATGCATTATTGTGGTGGAAGTATTCTGCTCGAGGTAGAATCATAATTAGCCAAGGTAGGGCAAGCAACACAAACACACAGCTTGTATCTGTTCAAGCTGCAGCCACAAATCCAGGAGAACCCCCAGATCACAAACAAGATTGTCACCTCATCCAAAATAAAGTAGTGGGACTGGTGTTCCCAAATGCTGAACAAAAAGCAACTAGGCTTTGCAATAATTCAGTCTAAGAACTTATTTTGCCTTATACAGATCCTGACAACCTCCAGGCACCAATTCAAGCTTTCAACAGAATCCCTAGTCTGACTTGGGATAGCAATGTACAACTGGATATCATCTGAACACTGATGACACCTCACCCAAACTGTCAATGACTTCTCCTAACGGCATTATACAAATTTTAATTAAGCCTAGGAATTTTAGAAAGATTTTTTTTTAACTTGCTGTTCCCCTCAAAGTGGTTATATAACAGTGAAGACAGTTTATAAACAATTTCACACACACATATATATACACAGGCCCCATCATAATTCCAGCAGAAACAGCAAAAAACAAACACCAGAATGGCAATGCCATAAGGCTATACTGCATTGGGAAGGAGAAGAAATATAACTGGATGAATATACTCGTTTGAAGGAGGGGGGGGGATGTCTTTCTATAAGAGAAATATAGGTATCTGAAAGAAAGAGGTTCCTTAAAGATG